CCCCCCCCCCCCCCCAGTCCCCGGACTGGCGGCACTGGGGGCACTGGTGCGGGGGGCGGGGGCGGCTCCCGCCGTGCGGGGCGAGGCCCCCGGGGCGCCGCCGCCCCCCTCCCCGTGCCGGCGCTCCGCACAAAGGCCGGGGGGCCGCGGCCCCCGCACAAAAGGCGGCGGGAGCGGCCCCGCGGCGGGAGGCGCAGCCCAGCTCGGACCGGAACGCGGCCGCGGGCCCGTGAGTGCCGGGAGGGACGGGCCGGGACCGGGGGACAGCGGGGCGGGGGCGAGCGGAACCGGCCGGGGGGACACCGGGACACCGGCACCGGGCTGAGCCGCTCGGGGCTCTTCGGTTCCGCTCGGGGCCCTTCGGCTCCGCTCGGGGCCCTTCGGTTCCGCTCGGGGCCCTTCGGGTCGGCCCCGGGGACCGCTCGGGCCCTTTCAGTGCCGCTCGGGTCCCTTCGTTCCCTGTTCGGGTTCTTTCGGTACCGTTCGGGTCCTTTCGGGCCCGTTCGGCTCCGCTCGGGTCCGGTCCGGTCCGTGCCCCCGGCGCGGCCCCCCCCGTCAGCCAACCAGCCGGGCCGGGACGCACCACGTGACCCGGAGCCCAGACAAAGGGCCGCCGGGCTGACCCGCACCGGCCCGGCCGGGCCCGCGCGTTCCGGCTCCGCGCGTTCCGCCCCGGCTCTCCCCCGGTCTCCGCGGGTACGTGACCGGGGCCGGGGGGTCCCGAGGGGGGACCCCGAGAGGGTGACACGGGCCACGATGGGCCCGGGGGGTCCCGGGATGAGTACCGGGGGTCCCGGGATGGATCGCGGGGGGCCGTGTGCGGGACAGGCAGAGGGTGCGGGGGGGTCACGACCCCTGTGGGACGGGGCTGGGGGTCAGCGGGGGCTTGGGCAGGGGAACCCCCGAGGCCCCCCAGCCGGGCGGGGGGCGATGGCGGCTGCGGCCGGGGGGTGCCAGGCCCGTGTGAAGGGCTGGGGGGGGATCTGGGCAGCCCCAGGGCACCCCCCGTGTGCCGGGATACGGGGGGCGATGGCCCGACCCCCGCCCGTGTACCGGGGGTCCCGGGGGCGATGCTCTGACCCTCGCCCGGGTCCCGGGGGCGATGCTCTGACCTCCGCCCGGGTCCCGGGGGTCCCGGGGGCAATACTCTGACCCCCGCCCAGGTACCGGGGGTCCCGGGGGCGATGGCCCGACCCCCGCCCGGGTCCCGGTGGTCCCGGGGGCGATGCCCTGACCTGCCCCCCCCCGCAGGCGGAGAAGAAGGCGAAGGTGATCGCCGTGATGAACGTGGTGGAGGAGCCGGCGCGGGCCGAGGCGCAGAAGGAGGAGGAGGCGAGCCCCCCGCCCGCCCCCCAGCAGCCCACCGACCCCGCCTCGCCCAGCGTGGCCACCACCCCCGAGCCCGCGGTGGCCGACGCGGGCGACAAGAACACCTCCAAATCCGCCGACGACGAGCCCGAGTACGAGGTGAGGGCAGGGCCGGGCAGGGTGAGGAGGGGAGGCAGCGGGGCGCAGACCCCCCCGTGTGCCCCCCACCCCTGACCCCCCGCGTGTCCCCCCAGGACGGGCGCGGGTTCGGCATCGGGGAGCTGGTGTGGGGGAAGCTGCGCGGCTTCTCCTGGTGGCCCGGGCGCATCGTGTCCTGGTGGATGACGGGCCGGAGCCGCGCGGCCGAGGGCACCCGCTGGGTGATGTGGTTCGGGGACGGCAAGTTCTCGGTGGTAAGTGGCCACCCCCGGAGGAGCCCGGGGGGCGTGGGGGGCGGCGCGGTCCCCCCCTTCCCCGCGTGTCCCCCCCGCGTGTCCCCACGGCCGCATCCTGCCTGTCCCCAGGTGTGCGTGGAGAAGCTGCTCCCCCTGAGCTCCTTCGCCAGCGCCTTCCACCAGGCCACCTACAACAAACAGCCCATGTACCGCAAGGCCATCTACGAGGTGCTGCAGGTGAGCGGGGACAGCGGGGGGACACTGGGGGGCACTGGGGGGGCACCGGCCCCTGGCACTGCCAGGGTGGGGGGACACCAGCTCTCCGTCCGTGGGAGCAGCAGCTGCCTCCACACCCTGCCAGGACCTGGCCCTGTGACCCCTGGGGGTCTCCTAAAAGAGCGGGGGGGATCTGGGGGACCCCCAAAAGAGGTTTTAGGGCTGTCTGGGAACCACTTGTGCCAGCCAGGGGTGTGCAGGGGGCTGTTGGGGGGGGGGGGGGGGGTT